TTTAGGGTGTGAGAAGTATACAAGGTATTCATTAATTCTTTTTTTTAGGTGATTTTGAGAGGGCGTTTATTAAAGCTGGAGACAATGAAACAAGGAATGGCCTAGGATAGAGAGACTAGGCTGAACTGCTTTGGGCCTTAGAAATGTTATAGGAAAGAAGTGAGCCAATGCAAGGCTGCTGTCAGCTCACTGAGAAGTCAGAGAAAAGGGGGCCTTGGAAACAGGTTCAGGGGATTATCCCAGGATGAGCTGCTGCTGCCCACTGCTCCCTTGGTTGCAAGTCTCGTGGGGACTCTTAGAGTTTAGGAGAGAAAAACAAAGATGCACGCCTGAGAGAGAAGGTGTGGGCATGCTCCAGAGAGAGCCTGCTTCATTAACTATGGAATTATTAACCTCCTCACTTTTAAATTTTAATGATTTAGATTATACATATGATAGATACACAACTACTGATCTTTTTCACAACTGATACTGACTATAATTCTCCCAATCAGAGACCCTAATTAATTGTCTCTACTTTATAACCATTTTTAATTTCTTAGGGTCTGAAATATGAATAAAGTCTGTATAACACTGTGATATGGCTTTTATATATATTTGCCTGATGTCACGTCAGGTGTTCTCAAGCCTGCCTCTTAAGCCACTGAGGTTTAACATGACCTGCAGGAAGACTGGGTATTATGTTTCTGTTAGCCCCTCCCTCTGCCAAAGGTACCACGTGAAAAGTGGACCTCACCTGACCACATTTTGCCCTTTCATTTTCATCCCCAGGCCAGTCACCCCCTTGGGAAAATCTTAAATATGAAATATATTTACCAGGAGTATGTACTTTGTTTTGTTTGAGTCCATGGACCTGCACTAACTTCTCCGCCATGATAAATACAGGCCTCTGAAACAGAATAAACTTGTTGTTTCCCACGTCTATTTTTTGTCTTGTGAAAGTGAAAGTTCCAAGTCCTGGAATCTGAACTCCCTGAAATGAAAAAGAAGGAATAAAATAGCAACAATTTACTCAAAGGGTGAAGAAATATAATCCTTAGTATTGTTATCCAAAATACATGAAGAAAATTAACCTTAGCCCTTTAAAAATTCAACGATCCTACAATCCTTTACAGATACAGCATTTTATGACTCTACATTTTAAACACATTTATTATAAAATATAATATATCAACCCATGATGCTTTTCTGACCTCAGATCCTTCATCTCATCGTGATTCAGAGGCTGTGAGAACCAAGAAAACTGGTATGGATGCCATAACTGCCCTTAAACTACATCTAAGATTATTCTTGTCCTAAACTGTGGGACACTTTAAATTTTAATCATTTGCCAGTGGAGGGAGAGAATCTAAGGGGTCATGATAATTTCTTCTTTCCTGTTCCTTTTAAATGTTATGTCCCTTACTTAAAATCAGACAACCCAGTGCCCAGGGCATAAGCAGCAGTGTGGTGATCTCAGGTTCTCAAACTGGGTCTCTGTCTCTCTGGAAATATCATACATCAAGATTTACAAACTCAGATGCCTACAGGGGCCAAGAAAGGATGCAAGCGAGTGAAGGATGCAGTCAGAGAATGCGGTGGCCAGAGAGCAGACCTCGTTGAAAAAGGAAAGCCCATAGCCAGCTCCAGCCTACAGTCACACACAGAAGTAAAAACTGGTATTGTTAAATCTGATTTTTTGATTTAAAAAATCCAAAGCTTTATATAAACTCTCCCAGTTGTAAGTGGTGATGACTAATTCAAATTATCAGACCAAACAAAATTAGTTTGAAGGATGAATTGAGCCCAAGGTCTGTCACATTGGGACCTCTGGGTAGGGTATAAAAGTTCCACAAGCTCCCAGCTCCCTCCAAACTCCCCAAATCTCTGCCAGGAGGAAATAATCCATCCCTGAGAAAAGTTCCTCGTTTTTGGCAAGTTGAGCTCAGTCCATAACCATCTTCTTATATTTCAATTAAAATGTATTACTTATAAGAAGGCAAAACAAAAAGTATTATTATGTCCTTCTAGAGCTAAGCCAAAAATTATCAGATCACAGATAAACAGAATTCATCTCGTTGCTCTCCACACACAGGCAGATCAGTGAAACACTGTATCTTAGAAGAGCAGAACTTACAGACATCCGCAAGTCCTAAGTGTGAGCATCACATTTTTAAAGTATAAATCCTACCTTGTGTTGGGATAGCTGCCGTTGCACAAATTCTGATACAAGCTCCCAAATAGTAGAGACTGCTATAATTCAAAAGAAACAAAGAATAATTTAAGTACCCATGTGCTAGTATCTTAGTGTTAATAAATAAAATTGTAAATATTAAATGCAGAATCCAATAACAGTGATTCCCAATTAACTTAGAAGTAATGGAAAATAAGGTCATTCCCCAAAATTAATTTTCCAGGCAACTAATACTTACCCTTTACGTTCCAAAAATGGGATTAAAAGTAAAATAATTATAATGAATTTTTGAAGAAAATCTTTCTAGGATAAAAGGAACTCTGTGACACATTTCCCTTTATGCTATAAAGTTAACCAAGCATAATCTACCCCTTTCTTAATGACTCATCCAACAATTAAGTGTCTACTCTGTGCCATCTGATTAATGTGAACATTCATTCATATACCATTCTATAACACAAGAATAAAGCCAAGGGCCACTGCTCTGGCAGGGTAGCTCAGCTGTTAGAGCATTGTCCCAATACACCAAGGTTGCAGTTTCAATCCCTGGTCAGGGCACATACAAGAATCAACCAGTGAATGCATAAATAAACAAATCAATGTTTCTCTCTCCCTTTCTCTCTCTCTCTCTCTCTCTCTCAAATCAATAAATAAAATAAAGCCAAGGGCCACTAAGGCATGAAGAGCTATTGTCTGCACATTAACTGTCTCTATACTTTTATTTATGCTTAATTCTTGGCTCCGTTCTTCATTCTCAGTTGTCCCTGTTAGACTACCAGCTGCCACTCTTCTCTTCCGCCAGTGCTCTGCAGGTTCCCTGCCCAGTCCTAATTCACTGCTTCTGATCTGCCATTTTCTTGGTTTCAACAAATAAACCAATTATGGCTAAAATAATAATTTTTAAAACCAAATCTTTGGGTAGGGATCCTTAGGACTTTGGCTTTACTTTGATTGGGTGCATAGACTTCGCACTGTCTGCTCTGAATGATCAGAGGGGGGCCTTCTATGTTTAAGTTCTTGTTCTGAGCTGTGTTTCGAAAGCACTGTGGTAGAAAAATGAGTCGTTGCCAATAACTAAAATGTCGACGTGTGTGATATGAAGGTAAACTCTAGGTATAACTAATATTTAGAATATAGAAAGTTATGTCTGCGTTGACAGCCCCATTCCAAACCTAATCATGTATATTAAAGATACTTTTCAGTCAGGAACTCTTTGCAAATCAAAAGAGCATACGGTTTAATTCTCAAATTAAAGCTCAAGAACAGTGATATTTACCAGGTTGCCGCTGCAGGACATAGAGCAGTTGGTAACAAAGGACCAGTTCCTTCCCCACTTAGGGAACTGTTTGATTTATTGATATAACTTTTTTTTCCTGCTGGTTTAAACCACTCCCTAAAGCAGGGAAAGTGTAGTCTTTTCATTCCAGTGTATCGGGGTTGTAAGTATTTTTATTCATATGCCAGGGAAGGAGCAGGTCAGGCAATGAGAAGCAGCAATGACTCTCACGGGCATCTGGGAACAGCTGGGTGATGGAAACTCCTTCACTCCCCAGGAGAGCGAGGCTGCATGTGCACGAAGCCACCGTCAGGATGCTGCCCTTCGCTCTGCCTCACGGACGCGGAGTTTCCTATAATCAGGTATTTCCTCTACTCCTCCCATGCTATTGTTTCCCCCACTCCTCCCGGCCCCCATAGACGGAAGAATTCTGGGGCTGGCTGCTAAGAACTAAGGTCTTTCACCCAGTCCCAACTGTATACTGAATTAAAACCAACACCACCAAAATCATCATTAATTTGTTAATGATACAGAATCTCAGTATCCAGAGTTACATGAAGACCTTTCAAAGTTATTAGGTCAAAACTGTGGAGTCTTTTGCCCAGACTCCTGATATGCAGCTCATATTTCAGGAAAACAATCTACACCAAAAGGAAATGATTTAATTAGGGCCAAGAGAAACTCTATAGCCTGCAACCAAACCCTCGTGAAAAGGCTTGCTTGAGTTTAATTGGAAATTTGAGGATGGCCTTGCTTCATTTGGATGATACATGTGAGTCCACCGTGTTGCTTTACTCTATAAAATCTAATAGGTGAGGTTACATAAGAGCAGAGTTTATTATTCTAAGCTGCTATTTCTCACTGAAGAAAAAGGGAAACATGCAAATCATCGCCGTTTAGGTAGTTTTCGGCCCCCGCAAGTCCATTGGGATCGATTTGGAAATTTTATAGACGTGGGTTCTAACTTTGATTTTTCTGACATCCCAAAGTATCAGAGGAGGTATCGCTAAACCTCAAAGCAGAAAGAATTTTAATCCAGTCTAAAAAGCAAATTAAATAATATGCTATTTTATTATTTTAAGAGAAGCTGGTGTTATTTTAATCAAACACTGAAATACCAAGAATCACTCTTATAAAGAAATAATGCCTATATTCAATTCAACCTTCATTTGACTTCAAATTCTAAACAGTTTGTGCACTCGAAACTATATTTTAAACCCAGTACCAAGTAGCAGGAATACTGTATCTCATCTACGGTCATTATAAAAAAGGATTAATGGCCCATTGTGTAAATTACAGAAAAACATATATGCTCGCAATAGATATCAATATTTAAAATGAAAAGTAAGTTTCCTGACTTTAAAAAGATCTACAATTAAAATGCTGGTATATGAACAGAACAAATTATTACTGAGCTATTTGAACAACAACACAAAAAACCACCACACACACAAAAAAGCACATATTCCCAGAGCACAATGCAGTGGCAAGTTCTGCAGACCTTCCTGCCTCCAGGGGTTCCTCGCTGTGTAGCCTGCAATAGTCTCAGCCAGCTCGCCTCTGCAAGACGACGACAGGCCCTTCCAAGTGCCATATAACATTAAACTTTGGCGAAACATTCGGAAGCTGCAAGGACTTCACATATACAATGATGAAAAGTGAATTTGTGTGTTTTGCTGAGATTGGGAGTTTTTCCTCACCTCCTTTACAATGGGTCATTTGCAAAAGTTAGTAAGTGGTCACTTGACTTCTGCTTCTGTCATTTGACCAATAAAGCTCTTGCTGAAGTCGTCAGTGGCCTCCTTGTCAATGAAGTCAATGGGCATGTTTAATTTTCACCTCTCTGGCCCCTCAGTCATCTCTGACACTGGTGACCTCTAAGTGTAAATTGATATTTGTTTCTATGAGTATTTGGTTAATGCGGATCTTTCCCCAGTAGATTGTAAATTCCAAGGTTTTGGCTCACCATCGGTTCTAGTGCCCAGCACATAGCACGTTCTAATAATTACTTGAATGCATAAATTATATGTAAATTTATAAATATGGCAAATATTTTTTAAAACCATTATCTTTGGTGCTTATTTTAGAATTATCTTAACAGGGAAAAATAGGAGTGATGCAGAGGAAAGAGAAAGAAGATGGATCGACTCATTTATTTGTCTCCTCAAACGATTTGGTTAAAGCCTAGGCAACATCTCTAAGTTACAATGAATTGACAGTAACAGCAGCTTCCATTTCTGGAGCGCCTTTCTTCCCAAGGGCTCCTATCTCTTACAGAACGATCTCGGGGTCACTTTGGGGTGACTCTTCTAAGAAACTATGTTTTCACCCTGGCCGGTGTGCTCGGTGGTTAGAGCGTCGGCCCACACATGGAAGGGGCGAGGGTTCCGTTCAGGTTAAGGGCACATGACTTGGATCCCCAGCCCAGACTGGGGGCGGGGGGGCACGTTAGGGAGGCGCATTGATGTTTCTCTCTCTCCCTCCTCCCCTCCCTTCCACTCTCTAAAAAATTAATGGGAAAAATATCCTTGTGTAAGGATTAACAAAATAAAAAATAGAAACTATGCTGTTAACCAAGCCTAGTAAGTTTTCTTGGAAAAGCTGCTAGGTCTTCTTCCAAACACCCAGTTCCTTTTATGACCATCTCACTTTCGTTACACAACCCCACGACGTCAAGGGGAACAAAAGCAGCTGTGTTTTTGCATGAACTCGGAGGAGGAGCCATTGGGGGGTGGTTGTTATAAAGCAACATTTCTTGAGCATTTACTTTGTGCTCGTCCTGGGGATAAGCGCTGTATAGACATTATCTCGTTTAATCAGAGCCCTTAGCTGGCCTCTGTCCCTTATTAAGACAGTCAATAAACTTGTCTCTGGGCATCCATCGAGCCTGAGCCTGATGTGATCACCAGCTGGCTGCGGCGGTGGCATGGCCACTCCAGGGGGTGCGCAAAGGTCTCCCACTTGGCCCCCAACAAGCAGATAGAGGTTCAGCCCCAGGCCGCTTACCCTCCTGGCTCAGCAAGGGCAGCGTGGGCAGCACCTTCCTGCCCAGGTCCTGCAGGCAAGGGAGGGTGGGGTCCAGCATCTCCAGGGCAGGCCGCTCGGGCTGGGTCCTCCGCGGGTCCTCTCTCTTCCTTCTTCCCTGGGGCTTATGCAAGCGATTTTCCCACCCTCCAGTCCCCTCTCCCCGGAGATCTGGATGATCCTACACTACAAAAGTCATCAAATACTGAAATTTTCGCTTCTTGAACGTTCTCCCTCGCTGTCCCTCCCCCTGCTCTGGCTGTCCCTGAGCGGCTTCCACCGCGGGACACCCGAGAGCCGAAGGCACCAGAGCCAGCACTGCGCCCCTGAGAGGCAGGGAGACAATGAGCCCGAGCCGAGGGAGACGGAGGGAGGCGCGCCAGCCCAGGGCAGGGCGGGGCGCGTTGCTAGGACGCAACAAAGGGTCGCTCCGTTGCTAGGGCCTCGGCCCCGCCCCCTAAGGTGGGCCCCAGGTGGGCCCTAGGGGCTGCTGAGCTCCAGACAGCGAGGGTAGGAAGTAACAATGTTTTTTAACTTTGTTTTTTCCTTCCCTTCTTACCCTGAGCCGCAGAGAGCCTTGGTGACCTTTGTAGTCACCTTGTACAAACCTGGGAATCCCTTCTGGCCCCAGTGGTGCACGTTTGAGGGCTTCCGTCTGAGCTGGGATTTGTTGCTCAGGTTTGGTTTATCCTGGGCTCCCCTCTTTGGAAGTGGAGGGCTGGAGGATTGGGGGAGGGAGTTGACTTTTTAAAAATTACAGTCCTTTTTTTTCCCCTCCCCCCGTACACTTTACTATCTCATCCTTCATCATTGTTTCCACACCCTCCCTCTGTTGCTGCTGAATTATCACAAAGTGAGCTCGCATCTAAACCCTCCCAGCTCCACAACTAGGGCTCTCTCAGTACCCAGAAACACCTCGTTCCCTCTCCAGGCATTACGCCAGATAATACTATAAATTCGTTCTGCCTGTGTTTGAACTTTTGGGATCGTATTGTCTGTATTATTTTGTGTGTGGCTCTGTCACTCAACATTATGTTTGTGAGATTTCTCCTGGTTTCTGTGGCAGCAGTGTGTTCATTTTCACTGTTGCATAGTATCCCTCTCTATGACTATGCTACATTTTTGTTTTTATCTGTTCCATTGTTGAGGGGACATTTGAGTTGTTTCCACTTGGGGTATTAAGAATAATGTTGCTGCAAACATTTTTTATTGAATTTATTGGGGTGACATTGGTTAATAGTATTATATAGGTTTCATGTGTACAATTCTATAATACATCATCTGTATATTGTATTGTGTATTCACCATCCTAAGTCTAGTCTCCTTCCATCACCATTTATCCCCCATTTACCCTCTTCTACCTGTCCCCACCCCCCTTTCCCTCTCATAACAGCCACTTTCTCTAAAAAAATCAATGGAAAAAAATATCTTTGGGTGGTTAAAAAAAAATCATTGTGTCTAATAAGACTGAGAACCTCTGTGTTAAAACATGGCAAGCTCTATAATTCAGCCTCTTTATCTTGTCTACTAAGAAGGCCAGAAATAAGTTTTGGGCCTTTCTTAAGCTAGTTTCTTGAAAAAGTAATTTCCTCCTACTCTCCTTTTCACTGCCTGCCTTCTGTCCTTTATTCTATTGATGCTGTTTATTTTGAAGCACTGGCCCTTACAGAAAAGGCTGTCTCGAATTCTTTGGGGAAATAGGCAGAGAATATTGTTAAATGGATTAACAGCAAGCAGCGGGCAAACTACTGCCAAGCCTGCTAATTTTTAGGTGCAATATCAGCATTATATTGTTCTCTCTTAAGATAATCATGGAATTGTAAAAGTATATTAGTTTCTTAGTTTAAATTTGAGTTAAATATGGTGATGACCCTTTTAGTCTCTCGAAAGGCTGTCTTCAGTTTCAGAGGATGGTTATGAATGACTGCTAATTATTAGTGAAACATAAATGGTGAAAGGTGGATCTACAAACAATAAAGACAAAGACCTTTCTCTCAAGGTCTTCTTTTCCTTTTGTCAAAGGTCTCTTGACAAAAGAGGCTGTGGAGATACATGTAACCGCGTGTTTACAACTTCAAGTGCGCTATAAACATTAGATATCCTGAAAACACATACCCTTTAGTTGATAACAAAGCTCAGGCAAACCATGCAATTCCCCTGCTAAGCATCTGCTTTTTGGATATACCTGCATGCTATACAATGATATACGTAAATGCAACATTGTCTGTAATGCTAAATCTTAGAATTAAACTAGGATAATCGTCAAAGAGAAGTAGATGAATTGTAAATCCATTCCTTGGATTACATTTTTAAGAGTTTGCTTAAAAAAAATTGTATATTTATGTGCTGATATTTTTAGAGTTTCAAGATAAATTGACAACCTGTTGCAGAATAAGATTAATATGATCCTATTTGTTTCAAATATACATATATCTGTAAATATACATGCACATTATTATATATGTTTGTAAATACATACAATATTTGAGGAAAGATACACAAAATGTTAACAGTGGTTATTTTTGGATAGTGTGAAATTATGTGTGGAGGTGGAGGAATTCAGAGAACTTTTATGTTCACTTTTCTCCTTTATTTACTGATTACTAAAAGCATGTATTACTTTAATAATATTTTAATGATAATTTAACAAAGAGAGAGAGGTACAGGCAGAGGACAGGGATTCATGCAAGTACTGAAAGAAACAAATTGGGCCAATGTTTTCCTAAATACTTCAATGTACATATACTTTTCTACAAGCTCTGACTTGCCTTGCAAAACCCACATTGAATGAGCAGTCACATTTACCCAGGCCCCGAAGTGTACACAACATTCAGTGGCTCGTGTTAAGGGCACTTAGAAACCTGTTGAAAAAGAAAATATTTACAATACTCTTGTGTTAATAAAACACAACACCAGAATAAATATTTGCAATAAATAATTTAATCCACATATGTTGAGGATCTCATTTATGTCAAGCACTTGGCTATTTGCTAAGAGAAAATTTCAACACATGAGAAGCAAATAATCTATTCACCACTTAACAAATACACTTATTGAAGAAGGTTCTAAAAACTAGGATTGGGTTCCAAAGTCAAAGCGTAAAATGAAAATTGGATACAGGCAAAATCACTGTAGAAACACCTTCTTAGGAAGGCACCATGCTGGAGACCCACATACCATCTCTTGGTTCATAGACCCAAAGCAGCCAGCCTTTCCCTCCAGCATTGGATCAGATCACTTTCTTCAGGTGGGCACGAGTGGAGCAGTTGGCTTGCGATTAGGAAACCACTCTGGGGTTTTTTTTTGTTTAATTGTTTTTTGTCAATCCTCACTCAAGGATATTTTTTCCATTGATTTTTAGAGAGAGTGGAAGGGAGGGAGGGAGAAAGAGAGAGAGCGAGAAACATCTATGTGAGAGAGACACATCAATTTGTTGCCTCCAGTGAGCACCCCAAGCGGGGCCGGGGATCGAACCTGCAACCCAGGTACATGCCCTAGACTGGGAATCGGCCCGCAACCCTTCAGTGTGCAGACCGTCACTTTAACCACTGAGAAACACTGGCCAGGGCAGGAAACCAGTCTTGTCTGAAAAATTCAACCAAATAGTAGAATTGCCCTGAACACCGTGAGATGCTTACTCCATGAGAGGTACTCGGGAACTGAGAGACTGAAAATAGCCCAGATGTGTCTGGCCAGGCCCGCGCTTACTCGGGGCTTATGCAGAAGTGGGCGTGTGGTTTGTGCCATGTCAACTTAGCGAAGACAGAACTGCACTTCCCAGGATTCCCTTCCCTGTGTGATTCCAGGTCAGCGTCAGTTAAAAGAGAAATCTGTGTGAGATTCGGAGGGCAGAATTAGCAGAAGACATTTTCATGCCGTGAAGATGGCTGTAGGGCAGATGCCGATCCGCGGGCTCACGGGGTAGGCCTGGGCCCGCAGCCTGGCCCGCAGCTCTCCAGCTCCCACCAGATCGTCCCCAGCTTCTCGAACCCTCTGCTAGGTGCTTGTCCAATACAGCGGCCAAAGGCACCTCACCCCGCAGGCCACGCATGTCACTGCAGTTGGCTGCAACAAGAGACAGACGCAGGTTCTGACTTGTCCTCACAGGTTCTAGTTTGTCCTTGTGGGTTCCAGCTTGTCCTCACCAGTTCCAGTCTTCCCTAATCTCCCCTATTTTGTAACCATCTTTCCTTCCTGACTGTTGGCCCTGCTGACTTTAAGCCCAACACCAGACAGAGGCCAGCACCAGACACACACTGCCTAACCAGCTCCTGCAATTATGTAATGCCCATAACAAATCCCGCATTTTCTATCATTCATAGGGGGCTGCTTCTCTGAACCCCAACTGATACAGGACTGATGGTTGAAACTGAAGTATTTAAATTTAAATTATTCTCTTGCAGCTATACTTCAACTTGAATTCACATCAATTAAGTGCTTGCACACTGCAACTCTATTGTAAAGATATATTAACTCACGTTAGAGGCCCGAAGATGATGTAATGGGAGGACGCAGGGAGGGAGGCTGCCTCTGAGACGATTGGTCTGAATGAGAAGCTAAGAGGTCTGGGCTTTATTTGGAAGGTGCAGATAGTTCCTGAAGGAATGTGAGGATGACCTGACCACTCTCAGATATTATGTTCTCCAGTACTGTATTGAAATGGGCTTTGTAGCTCATTACACGGTATAAAGAGCCCGTATGTTAGATGGCAATTATAATCAGAGAAATTTCTGAGAGACATGAAGGGAAGCTACCAAATAACTAAAAGGACAAGTGCTGGCCATGGGAAGGCTGGCCATGGGATGATGAATGTCGCTGAGAGTGACAGCTGTTTATAAACTTTTGATGGATGAAACAGAAAAGATGCAACACCATTGACAAAGAGTAACTTAACTACTGTGACAAATGAGAATACTTTGAGGCTAAGCTATGGAAGGATCTCCCAAGGAAGAAATATAGCAAAACTCATCAAATCAGAGTGTTTAAACAGAAACCATTTCAAGTAATAGATAGCACACCGCCACCGTTTCACCTGGACTGTCTACAGGATAAAAGTCAGAC